TTTTTTTTTTTAAATTTTAGACCACAGGGTGACAGTGTTTCTCAACACTGTTTTTATATGCATAAAAATTACTCTGGCAGCACCTCCAGAATCTGATTCTGTAGGTTCATAGTGTACCCTTGAGAAATCTACATCATTAATGAGCTCCAGATGATTCTTATGAGGGATGGGAAAACCCAATCTACTCTTGAGGATCCCTGCATGCAGGAGGGCTTCATGCAGTGATGAGAAGTATTAATATTAAGTGAGGTCGTAGGTGTCCTTGTAAGATATGATACATTGGCAGTAGAAGCCATGAGGATTTCCATGAGTTTGAGGTCACCTGGGCTATATCACTGTTGAAATAATTAAGGTGAGATCGTTCCCTGGGGAGGAGGTTGGGAATGACATCCAGAGTACAAGTAAAAGTATCACTCTCAGATCAGGAGAAAGAGGTGAAGCGTACACAGTGGGGATAAGGATGCTCTTCTTGCTGTGAAGCCAAAGACTCTGAATAGCTCCTTTGGTTTGAATGGACTGAAAGCAAGCTCCTGAAGAGGATATAAGGTATTCTTGGTTTTTTTTGCATACTGGAAATTGAACTCAGGACCTTGCATTTGCGAGACAGGTGCTGTGCCACTGAGCTATATCCCTAGCCCATGTTCTTGGGATTTTAATGTCATCAAAAGTTATTATTATCCGAAACTTAGCAAGTTAGCCATTATGTTATGTTCACTGATGCTATCAGTCAAGAATTTAGACAGAGTATGGAGGGGATATCTTTTCTTTGCTTCATGATACTGGGAGCTTCATGAGGGTTGGGGTGGCTCAGCAACTGAACCTAGGGTTGGAATCATCTGAAATCTTCACTCACATGTCTGGAACTTTACTCACCTGGCTGGAACAACTGGAAGAGTAGGTCTGGCAACTACAGCACCTAGCCAGACCTCTGTGTTTAGCTTGACTTCCTCGTAGCACAGCAGATTTGGGATAATTGAACTTTCCACATAGCAAGTCTCCAAGTGCATGTGACCCAGTAAATAGGACAGAAGCTTCATTTCCTTTTATGTCTAGTCTTGGAAGTCACCCAGTGTCACTTCTGACGTATTTGTTGAAGCAATCACAAACTAGCCCAGATATAAAAAGATGGGACACGAGACCCATGTTGTGATGAGAGCGATATCAGAATTGTGACCTGCATATAATTTCAAATTGGCACAAGAAACAAAAATTAAATACAGCTGTATGGGAAAAGGTACACTTCGTTTTCTGGTACTTTAATTTTTCTAAATGTACATTGCTGATGTTTAAGTAAGGTTGTCAACCTTTTATAAAAAATTAATGAAATATTAATGAAGTGATACTTTGAAAAAGCCTGAAACCCAGTGAAAGAACAAATATTTTGCTGTTACCTTTTTAAATGATTTTTTAATATCCTTCAGGACAAGCAGTGGAAAGAGCTCTGTTATCAATGCGATGCTGTGGGATAAAGTCCTCCCGAGTGGGATCGGCCATACGACCAACTGCTTCCTGAGTGTGGCGGGCACTGATGGGGATAAAGCCTACCTGATGACAGAAGGGTCGGATGAGAAAAGGAGTGTGAAGGTGACACTTGACTGTTCAGCGTAGTGCGTCTGAAGCCATGTCCTCGGGGTTTTACCCTCTACTGCATAAGATGTCTGCACTGCTGAGGTGGAAGGATTGCTAATACTTCTTCTCATAACTTTTAAAGCCATCACTAACATTTTGAGTTCTTCCCTCCTCTCTCTCTCTTTTTTCTTCAGAGCTAAATTACACAGAGACTAAAACCTGTCCTTAATCTTTTGCAGTGTTGGTGGTGGTTGAACAGGGTTTCTTGCATGATAGCAGTCACTCTACTGCTGGGCTGTACTTGCTCCCCTGTTTATTACCTCTAAATATCTGTAGAATTAAGTTTTCTTAAACCTTCTAGTAAGGAGAATATTACTAAAGTGTGGTGTTGCTATTTAATCTCAGATTTGTCTGGGGTTTTTGTTGTTGTTTTGTTTTGTTTTTTAAAACGGTCTATGTAGTTCAGGGTGAACTATGTAGGCCAGGCTGACCTCGAATTCATGGTGATGCTCCCACCTCAGCCTGCTGAGTGCTGGGATTATAGGCAGGTGCCACCACATCTGACTTCTTTTTCTTTTTTTTTTGACTTTGTTTTAAGAAATAGACCCTGGAATCTATTTTTGCTAACGGTTTTTTACCTCAGAAGTTACTAAGCATCTTCATGAATAAATATTATAGACTTATCAGATAAGGGCAAATGGCAGTTTCCTACCTTTCCTTTCTTTTCTCTTTTTTTTTCTTTTTGTCTTTTTTTGAGACAGGGCCTTGCTCTGCAGTTCAGGCTGGCCTTGAGCTCACTTTGTAGCCCAGGCTGGTCTCAAACTCGCAACAATCCTCCTGCTTCAGCCTCCCAAGTGCTGGAATTACAGGTGTGTGCCACCACACCAGGCTCTTTTCTTTTTTTGAGGGAGTGTTCGTGATCCAACCCAGAGCCTTGCATGTGATAGGCAAGGGGCTCTACCACTGAGCTATATCCCTAGTCCTTTCATAAATCTCTAAATTCAGTGACACTAGATTTCTTCAGCCAACAAAAGAAAACGCTAGATAAATTATGCTCTGTGGTGTTACTGTGACTGAAAGGAGTTGGTAAGGCACTGTTTCTCACTTTCCTCCTTGGTGGTGCTGGGGTAGAACTCAAGGCCTGGCACATGTTAGGAGGTAATCTACCACTGAGCTACAGCCCCAGCTTAGTCATCTTCTCTTCCATCTGAAGATCTTTTCCACAGACGCAGAAGGTCAGTATTGAAGATCCATTCTATTTTAGATTTTGCTACACTGTAGGTGAAGTTATGGGTCTAGTTTTGTGAGTTTGGTTTTTTACCTGGATCGGGTGACAAGTCTGTCCTTAGATGGAGCATACCCTTGAAATTAGTTATGGGAATAGCTGAGACGATTGTGAAAATATTCTTCATACTTTTAACCCATACAGTGAAAAGAATCGCTATTATTTTATAACTCAAGATTTTTACCAAATCAAAATTCATACTGCCAGTGGCTTTAGAGACTATCAAAAGGAAAATGCATTTTTTTTTTTTTTTTTTTTTTTTTTGCCTTGAACTCATGACAATCCTTTTGCCTCAGCCTCCTGAGTGCTGGAATTACAGGTGCACACTACTGCGTCCAGCTCATGTGATACTTTAGAAATGTCATCTCATTTTTCCTGATGGGTGCCCTTAAGTTCTTTTCCTTTACTGCCCTTTTCTGCCCCTTTCCAGGAACCTGCCAGATTTAAATTTGTCTCAAGCAGTGGCCTGCTAATAGTAGACTTGGAGTGTTTTGTTCCGTTACAGTTTATTTAGCAAAAGAGACTCAACAATAATAGCTAATACTTCACTGTTCTAAGCACTTGTAATAACTCAGACCTCACCACAATTTTGTCAGAAGGTGCTTTTCTTACCTTGATTTTATAGGCGAGGCACCACAATTGGAGTAAGTTTACAAATCTATCAAGGTGTTCACTAGATAAGCAGACACTCCCCAGCCCAAACAACTAGCCCTGTCACTGCAGAAATTTACCTCAGCTCTGATCAGGACTACTGAGCACATTTGAAAATAAATGTTTCCCTTTAAAATTTGATACACAATCACAGAAGCAGTATAGAAATACATGTACAGATGCTCTTTTCCTGCTTTATTTTAGTAATTTTATTTAAAACCCTCTGTTATATTTAAAACATACATGAAGTATACTAATCTACACATTAATTTCATAAATGTGTGTCAGAAGTCATGTTGAGAAATAAAAATATTGTAGGAATTTAAATGGAAAGAAAAGGCAGACACTGATTTTAAGCAGGTTTGTATATCACTGTTGAAAAAACTTTTTTTTTTTTGTCTTTTTGAGGCAGGGTCTTGCTGTGCAGTTCTGGCTGTCCTTGAGCTCACTTTGTAGCTCATGTTGGTCTCGAACTTGCGATGGTCCTCCTGCCTCAGCCTCCCAAGTGGTGGGGTTATAGGCATGCGCCACCACACCTGGCAAAAAAACTCTTATTAAAAGGCAAATATGTATTGATCTTTTCTATTTCCTCTGCTTATTCCTATGGAGTTTTTCAGTAAATCTATTTAATTTAATTTAATTAATTTATTTATTTATTTTTGTACCTGGAGTCAAACTCACGACATTGCATTTGCCAGGCAGGTGCTGTGCTGCTGAACTATATTCCCGGCTATTTTATTGATTGATTGTCTTTTTGAGACAGGGCCTCACTATGCAGTTCAGGCTGGCCTTGAGCTCACTTTGTAGCTCAGGCTGGTGTCAAACTCGAAATGATCCTCCTGCCTCAGCCTCCCGAGTGCTGGGATTACAGGCACGCATGCCACCACGCCTGGCTAAACCTATTTTAATGAAGACATTTCTTCTAATACTGGTGTTTCCCCTTTATTACTTAAGCAGTACACATGTGTCAGCGGAGTTGGAAAATGCAAATAAGCAAGGGCACCAGGGACTCTAAAACTCGTATTTTACAAATTCAGGATGAACTTCAGGAGTTGCATAGGATTCCAATGCTAGAGTGCTATTTGCTGGTCAGGGCTGGTTTCCACAGTTGATTACTTTTGTAGGGCAGTATGAGTAAATTGTTTTAAGGAAACTTTTTTTCCCCGCTTGGTAATTTAAAAACTCAGATTTCTTAAGGTTGCCGAGATGGTTTTGTTTCAAACTGTTTGAAGTTCTACCTTTGTATACATTTTGTGAAAATGGATGTTGTGGCAAATCATAGTATTTGAAATTTTGTTACAAATACAGGCCTTTTTGTTTTCTTTTTTTCCTGCTTTAGACAGTTAATCAGCTGGCGCATGCCCTCCATATGGACAAAGACTTGAAAGCTGGTTGCCTTGTGCATGTGTTTTGGCCAAAGGCAAAATGTGCCCTCTTGAGAGATGACCTGGTTCTAGTAGACAGGTAAAATTACTTGTGAACAGTGGTTTCTTTGGGTATTGGTTTATGTAATAGAACAATGCTTTTTTTTTTTGGCTCTTTTTTGAGTCAGGATCTCACTATGCAGTTCAGGCTGGCCTTGAGCTTACTTTGTAGCTCAGGCTCATCTCAAACTCCCAACAATCCCCCTGCCTCAGCTCCTCCTGTCTCAGCCTCCCTGGTGCTGGGGTTGCAAGCATGTACCACCACGCCCATCTAGAACAATGCTCTTTATTTTAGTGTGTGGTACGTAAAAATTGAAAACATTCAACTACTGCCTTGTTCTCATTTGAGATTGTTAAGGAACAGATAAGGCATTGATTCCTTTTTTTTCTTTCGTACTAGCCCCCTTACCCGGGTACTGGAGATTCAACCCAGGGACTTTGCTCTAAGCTGCATGCCCAGCTGTTTTTTTATTTTGTGACAGGGTCTCACTAACTTATCCAGGCTGGCCTCAAATTTGTTTTGATCTTGCCTCACCTTCAGAGTTGCTGGGATTACAGGTGTATGCCACTGCACCCAGCCTGATTTCTTTTGTAATAATATATGTATACACACACACATGCACATATATATGTATTTTGAGACAAGGTCTCAGTGTTGTAGTTCTGGTTGGTCTTCAGTTCCCAGTGGTCCTCCTGCCTCAGCCTCCATGTGATGGGATT